GAGGAGGAGGAGGAGACGACGTACCCAAGAAGGTCCGTCCGACCACCGGCCTCGACCTCGATCGACGCGAAAGCATCGACGGAGGGAGAGTGGGCCCCAGCTGGGTGGCGCTTGGGTTCATTTTCGGCCTCTCGAAGGGCGTCGCAACCCCTTGCCACTTCCGCCACCAGCAGGGCCCACAAAAAGATGGTGCTCGAAGCAGACCGAACGTGAAAGATCCGCCTCGCAAGCGAGGGCAAAAAAGAAAGAGGAGGGAGAGAGCTTGTCACTGAGCGACAGCCCCGTCCACTTCGAGAGAGCCGTGAGGCACAGGGCAGAGCGGGAGAATCATCGACCGCAACATGCCGCCCCAACTGGAGCTTCGATCAATCCCCCCCCCATCACAAGTCCCGCAAACTGGCCAGTCCGCCACCCATGGAATACAGAAAAAGACAGAACACAATGTCGATGAAAGAATCTCACCGCTCGAGTGCCAGCTCTGCTGCACCTCGAATATCGCATGCGCGCCCCAAAGACATAGGAGTCTTCTGCGCAAAGCTTATCGCCCTGTGATACATATGGAAAGCCCAAGCAACAGCCTTAAGGCATTCTTCTCGTGAGAGTTCCGATCCCGCCCGCCCGTAGTCAGACGCCGCCCCCAAGTCCCAACAGAACAATCGGTGAGCCTGGAAAATGGCGCCTTCTCCAGGCAGGGTGCATTGCTGGATGGTGGTACATTCTCGAGCAACGCAGGTCGTGTGCAATCTCGTCGGGCTCTGCGCAGCCCCAGATGCAACTCGTGAGCGGGGGGTGGCCATGTGCAGTCTGTGCGCGGTCGCCCACGCTCCGCAGAGGTCCTTGATAACACTTCATTGCCAAGCAGGCTTGAGACCGGCGATGCAGGTCCGACAGAGACCCCACCGCCCACCCACTGACCGCCGCCCCCCAGGAACCGGGACCTGCCACGCGAGAAGCCTTTTGCCCAGCGTTCTAAGGAAAGAATCAGGAAAAGCAGCTGCTCGAAGCGCGCGCGCAAAGATGCGCCGTGGGCGCGGGCGGCGAGCTCCCTGCAGGGCTAGCTTGGCGCGCTCACGCGCCGCGCGAAGCGCTGTGCGCCACCCGTGCTTATCAGGGAAGAGGGGGGGGCGGAAGCCTCGCCCGCTCCACGAGTTGCGCGAGCGAAAAAGGCGCCCCCAGCAGGGCGCTGAGCATCCCCCTGCGATGAAGCGAACTATCGTAGCATCGCCCTGAGCATATTCTTTCTAGCTGCACAGGGCACGCTGCCAGGCATGAGGTGCGCCAGCTGCTAGCCCACCCGGGCAACGAGACAGCGGACGGGGCAATGACGAGCACAGATAACAGGGCATTCAGATCAGCAAGACTGAGGCTGTTCGGCGGCATCCTGAGCAGTTTATTCAAGGCCTGCTATTCGAGCTTGCGAATCATAGCAGCGGTGGAAAACAGTTGGGCGAGATACGAGAGGGTCGAGAGTGCGGCGGCGATGTGCAGAATCGAAAGAACAGTCGGACCAGCCCTAGAACATGGCAGAGCAATCGTCCTCGACCACCACTTCGCTGCCGCGGTGGCCCAGATCATGCTAAGTGTAGCTGCCGGGCCCATGGCGACCCCTAGGTAGACTGTCTGGCCCGCGATCTTAAAATTGACCCAACGCGGGATCCACTTACGCAGCTCGCTTCGGACCCTGACCTGGACAGCCCCCGCGCACTCGGTCCACAGCGGGACCAGGACACATCTGGCACCATGGAGCCCAAGGACGGCAAAACGCGCCGCGCCCAGGAAAACACGGGATACACTAACCAGATCACGAAGGCGAGACAACACCATTCCGACGTCGTCAGCACAACCCCCGGGAGAACCCTCTCGGTGCCCCGCCTGCGGGAGCTGCGCGGCTGCGCTCGGGCATCGGAGGGCGGGGCACATTGCAAGCGCCCACAGAGAGCCAGGCAAAGGGCGCCCCTGCAGGATCCCCGAGCAGTATGAAACAGGAAAGCGATTCTATTTTGAACATTAGCAACGCCTCTGGGGGGAGAAACAAAAAAAACGCGTGGAAAAAAGTTCCGGAAACCTGGCGGGGGCCCAATCTGAGAATCTCGAACACCCACTGGCGGCCAAGGGACGGGAAAGCCGCCTCCACATCGTAGACAGCGAAGATCGGGAGGTCCTCCTCAGCTTCGGGGGTGATGCTGGCCTTGCGGGCCTCGGCGTCCAACGAGATGATGTTGGACAGGAAATTACGTCCTGGGATGACACCTTGTTGAGCCTCATGGGCGCGCTCTTGGGAAACCTGACGGCTCTAAAATTTGGTGGCAGAGGCCCTGATCTCAGCGTCCGTATTCCTGAGGCTAACCGGACGAACCTTCCCCGGTGACCGCACGCAGCCCCGGGCATCTTCGGGTTCCGAACCTTCTTGGGGAAAAAAACGAAGAGGCTATCATTATGCTCCAAGGGCACCGCATGGCCGCCATACAGATACGTCATAAGTTTACGCAGGACAGTAAGTTGTTCGGGTCGAGCCTTCCGTGCCGCGCATGAAAGTTGA